AGAGACAGAGACAGAGAGAGAGTGTGTGTTCTGGTGTGGCACTGCAGGATAATGCACTGGACCTTAAGGTCGGTTTGAACCGCAGGTCAACGGTTCAAACTCACCAGCTATCCAGATCACTATTCATAGGAACTGAGTTCTTGACACTTAACAATGTGCACAGAGGTTCAATGGGTTCCGAACTGACTTGAAGGCAGACTCCTAAACTTAATCATCTTATATCCTTTATCTATTAGTTACTGGTAGACATTAATCGAATATTTGTGGAACAACTGACAACATAATATAGCCAAGAACATGTACTATCTTCCATGAGAATGAAAAGACAAGCCTGGCCTTTTCTTATGTAAGCGCCCACATCTATAACAAATGACTCTTCATCCTTTCAGCAAAGATAGCACCAATGTCCAGAAATTAAACAAAGATTTGGGAAAAAGTAAAATTTTTTGAGAATTTTCTAAAAACAAAAATGATTACTAAAGGTAAACATCTCATGCTTTCAGTTATTAGTATTTTACCAAAGTACTACAGCATTTCTTCAGAAGAGGAGCATGTAAGCTTACACAATATTCTTTTTTATGTAACTACAGGAAAACAGAAGGAGCTCTGGTAGCGTAGCAATTACGAATCGGGCTGTGAACCCTAAGGTTAGCAGTTCTAAACTACTAGCTGTTCTGCGGGAGAAATATGAGGCTTTCTGCTCCTGTAAAGATTTATAGCCTCGGAAGCTCTGTACAGGGTCGCTATGAGTCAGAACTGACTCCACGGCACATAACCACCACCACCATAGGAAAACAACTTATCTAAATATCCTGTTCTTTAAGAAATTTCTAACTAGTATTTTAATTCTAGCCTTAACAGAAGGGCCAAGAAAATAAATGATAAGATTCAGAGTCAGAAAGGAACCTGGAGATAACCAACTTAATTCCTTATCATAAAAAAAATAGTTTAATATGAATAATTTGAATAAAGGTGGGATTACAAATCAAATCTACCTCTTAGTCTAGAGTACTCACTAAGCATAAAGGTAACGATATAAACTACTATTTCTTTCAAAAACCACACTTTCAAAAAGGAACTATTACCGTCATTTTGGAGATGAGTAAACACTTCAAGGCAGCTACTTACTCATGGCAGTGTTTATAGAGCCCTGCACAAGCAGTGGCTAAGCACTCAATGTTAACTGAAAGCTTGGTGGTGTGAACCCACCAGCCACTCCATGGAAAAAGGAAGAAAGATGTGGAAGGCATCTTCTGTAAAGATTTATAGCCTTGGAAATCCTATAGTGCAGCAGTTCTACAATTAGCTATAATGTCTACATGTCAGAATCAACTTGACAGCAAGTGGATTGTTACTGTTTTTAGGTTTGAGTTCAGAGTCCATACTCCATTATTCCATAATGCTACAGTAGAAAATTCTGACTCCATTAAAAGTTTTTTTCTATTACTGACAGCTGCTGTTATAAATCCTTATACTTTGGTGCCAACAAGTTGGCTCTGACATGTAGCGATCCTATGCACAACAAAAGGAAACACTGCCCAGTTGTGCTTCATCCTCACAATTGCTATGCTTGAGCCCATTGTTGCTGTCATTGTGTGACTACGTCTCACTGAGGTCTTCCTTGTTTTCACTGACCCTCTACAGATTATGATGTTCTTCTTCAGGGGCTGGTCCCTTCTAGTAACAAGTCAAAAACACGAGATGATAGTAGTCAATTAAAAAAATCTCCAGTTATTTTCTTCTGTTTATATTGCTTTCTAACCTTTTTTTTTAAAAAAAAAAAAAGAAAAAATAAGCTAGAAAAGCTAGAAACATAAGAATCTCAAGAGTCAACTTTTCTATCTGGAGTATCTCCAGAGGAAACATCTTAAGATGTTTATAAACTAGCAGTAGCTAAGCAACCATGCAATATCACATCTTCAAGTCCTTTGGGTAGCAACAGTTCCTTTAACAAGCTCTTAATATAGTAATCAATTCTATCATTTATAAAAGAGTTAATGGGGGAAGGGAGATATACTATCACTAGGGTATAAAATTTAGAGTTGAAATTTCCCAATTCTTAAAGAGAAGTAAAAAACATGATTTAGACCTAATCTATAAATTAACTCTACAAATCTACATTTGGGATTACAAAGATTTCAGTTTGAAGAGTCAGACATCTATTTCATGACTGAGTTAAATTCTGGGAATATGAATTAGGCAGGTAAAAGTAGGTGGCCATGAATCAATGGGTTGAGAATAGTCCCAGGAGGAAGAAGTAACATGAACCAAGGCCTAAGATGTCATACACAGTATGCTTTTTATTGACTGCAGTCCTCTCAATATAATAACATCACTTCCTTCCTATGTTCTCTGTTTCCATTCTTCTTTCTTTCTTTACCCTGTCCTTGGGTAAATGTTGCCCTTTTGCTTTCAAACGGTTGATTATTAAAGGTGTGCACATCTCATTAATTACTGCTCTCCTTAGAGACCTGTGTATTGTTTGGCTGAAACTTGAGCCAGGAGGGACTGAGTTCAGTTTCATCATGTACTTTTAATGTAATACATATAACAACCATTCTTCTTTTTCTTCTTCTTTTTTTTTTTTTACTGCCACATCATGTATTTATTTTAATGCTTTATTGTGAATTATGTGATAGTTTACATGGGAGGACATCAGCTTCATATTGATCCCGCCATGGTTACAATCCCTTCCATGCATCATCTATCAACCAAAGGGTATACCCTGCAAGCCTGACCCCCTGTTGTCCACACACCATCCCTCTCTCTCTCCAGGTTCAAAGTCTCCAGCTGTTCCAACTCCCCACATCATCGTCTCTGCCTCCATCCCTGGCATCACTGCTTCTCTGGGCAGGCACCGTTCTCTGCTCTTCTCCTTTGATGGTCCCAGGGACCTCCGCTCCTAGACTGTAAGGTTAATATCGCAGACCTATCCGCACCTCCTTTCATCAGTCCTAACTAGGCAGAATGGATACTACTCACTGGAGATTCTACCTTGCTCCACACCCTTCGTATCTAGGTTCCCTCTTGGAAGCTTATAAGTCAGTCACTTCTTGCCTCTGTAGCACCCCCATTCTGGGTAGCCAATGTCCAAGTTGCCCATCCCTGTCCTCTCCGTGTGCAGAGGAGGTGGGAACGATCCTTGCTGTGAAGCTACTGCTTACATAGGTGTGTGTCAAGTTCATCAAATTATATCAGATTATTCTTCTTCCCTCTTCTGTTTGAGCTCTGATCCTCCAGCCATTGAAGCCAGGTCAAGCGGATATCGTCTGCAAGTGTGGGTGTACCCTCTCTTCTTATCAGCTGGATGCTTCACTCTCCATTTTAGTCCTCTGTGGCTATGTTGCTGACTCTGGGTCCAAGAGTTCCCTGGACTTGGCACACTGCTGGCCAACCAGGTCTCCATCCAGGATCACAGGAGTCTATTGAGTATTGTAGGGCTTAGCTCGCTGCTTCATTGCTGTTTTTCCCTCACTTCCCCTTATCGGTGACGGCTCTGGTCACTCATCAGAGTAAGCATTCCCACTGAGCCTTAGTCTTAGAAGGGGGGATAAACATTATTTTTCTATAGTATTTTATAACAAATAGAAATTTTAGGTGAGTCTACATTAAAATGTGTTCTGAATATATTATCACTGAAATCTCAAGATTTTTGTATAGGCCATCCCTTTCTTGATATGAAATACCATCTTTATCGTATACTATAATGCTATGTGGATTTCTAGACTCTGATGTTTCACCAATTTAGTTATAGCTGACATCAATACTCCCGGTTTTAATTATAATCATTTAATCAATATGTTTTGCTAAATGGTTGGGCATTTTTTTCCTGTGCTGCAGACTTATAGGGACCCTACAGAGCAGAGTACAGCAGTAATCTTTACAAAAACAGACTGCCTCATCTTTCTCCCGTGGAGAGGGAGGTGGGTTCAAAGCATCTACCTTGAGGTTAGCAGACAGGAGCTAAACCACTGGTGCCACCAAGCCTCCTTATGGTTGGGCACATTCTTATACAGTTCTTTTTTAGGTCTAATTGCAGGAACTTCTTAGTTCCTACTATGTGTGGGATCTATTTTCCTATTTTATATTTTGAAAAGTTACGGAGTGTGTTCTGAGACCTTTCAAATTCAGTAAGCCAACATGGCATCTTATCAGTGTAGAACTTTCTTGCTTTACTACTTGTTCAGTTGATTTGTTTAGATTTTAGAACTAGATTATAGCAGAAACTACAAACCGATTCTTTTATATTACATTGCCTGTTTACTTAGGAAAAAAAAAGGCCAGATCCCTGACATCACTCATAAAATACAAAGGGGGCTTCAACAGTTCCTGGAAAAATAAAATTACCCTCTTCTGTTCTTTATTATCATGTGAGTACTGCTATCTTTCATCTTCACTATGTCTTCTCTTAAGACTTTCAGGATCAAGAGATGCCTGGTCAAGAAGCAAAAGCCGGATTGCCCCCGCCCCACTGGAATGAAAACTGGTAATAAAATCAGGTACAGTGCCCAGAGAAGACACTGGAGAAGAACCAAGCTGATCTATAAGGAGTCACATATGTGATGGCACACAAGTTCTAGTACTCTACCATATAAAGTTAAATTTTGCCCAGATCTGATCAACTGAACACGTACATGTATTGTAAAATTTCCACATTAAAAGGCTGGCTACTATGGAGGGGATTATAATCAATGTAATGAAACAAGGTGTGTGATTTGTTGAATGTGAAACTGTAAACTTACAGTCAATCCACAATAAAAACCTTAATAAAAAAAAAAGGTTGGCTACTAAATATGTAAGACGTTTGGTTTGGATGGAAAAAAGAGAGAAAAATGGAATTATACGATAATGGAATTTTTCCGTGAACTTTTTGAATTCCCCTTGTAATATACTACAGATTTAACAAATAAATGCAACACACACACAAAACAACTATCAAACTCTTGGGAAATAACAGAAGAAAAATACAAAAAGCTTATCTTTGACCACAATAATCAGGAAAATAGTTAAAAATTGAAAACTTGCTAAAAAGTTGGCAGGGTTGGGAAAATGGGTCACACAAAGTAAATGGTGTAACAGTTTGAGGCACAGGAGCAAAAGAGGAAGACCCCCCCCTCCCCCCAATGAGATGGATGGTCATAGTGACTGCAACAATGGGCTCAGGCAGTGTTTTGTACTGTTGCTCATAGGGTTGCTACGAGTAGAAATGGACTCAACAGTACTTAACAAGGAAAGAATGATAGGTATAGTTTGATGTCATTTATGTAAAACGAGTGGCTCCTTACTTATTAATCTTATGCTTTCTGTAGAGAGAAAAAGGTCTTGAAAGATTCTCTTCAAACTGATAAATTTAACACGGGTAGGAATTAAGAAGTAGTAACTAACAGAATGTAGGCTTACCTGAAATATTTTTATTTTTCTACATGGAGGCTCTATTTGTATACTCCAGCTAAAGTTTAAAATAGATCTTAAAAAGACCTCAAAATATCCCGCCGCTAGCATGTGCCTTACATTATGGCTAAATTTATGACTCAAGAAGAGCTGAAATTCTTATTCTGGTCTATTCAATTCTTAACAATGCTCCTATTATCTTTTTAAACCTCTTATGCAGGCAATATTAATGTTTCTAGCAAAGCCCCCCATTTCTTTTTTGGCTTACAGAGTTCTGGTGAGTGGTTAAGTGCTTGACAGTAAATCAGTAGGTTGACAGTTCAAACCTTCCAGCCTCTCCAGAGGTGCGATGTGGTATTTTACATTCATAAAGATTGTTATTGTGAACACTATCAGTTCTGATTCATAGTCCTGTATACGGTTTCCAAGGAGCGGCTGGTGAGTTTCACTCACTGACTTTGTGGGTAGCAGCTCAGTATTTACCCTACAGTGCCACACCAGGACTCCCATAAAGATTGTTGTTGTTAAGTGCCAATGAATGGCTTCCAATTCAAAGGGACCCTGTATAAGGTTTCCAAGGAGCAGCTGATGGGTTTGAACTGCCAACCCTGTGGTTAGCAGTCCAGTGCTTATCCTACAGCACCACACCAGGGCTCCCTAAAAAGATTACAGCCTTGGAAACCCTACAAGGGCAGTTCTACTTTGTCTTGTAGGGTCATTACGAGTTGGAATTTTTTTAGTTTTCCTTTTGTTCCTCCACTGTTCAATTTCCAGTTTCCTGGACTATTAGATAAACATGCTTCCTAGCTGTCTGCCATGAAGTGCTGTCCAACTGGTCCCGCCTCATAGTGACCATATGCATAATACAATGAGAAAATGCAGGGTCCTGTGCTAGCCTCACAATTGTTGTTTGAGCCCAAAATTGCAGCTGCTGTGTCCACCCATCTCATTGAAGGTCTTCCTCTTTTTCGCAGATCCACCACTTTACCCACGATGATGTCCTTATCCAGGGATTGATTCCTCCTGATAATATGCCCAAAGTATGTGATGTGATGCCTCACCAGACTCGATTCTAAGGAGCTGTACTTCTTCCAAGACAGATTTGTTTGTTCTTCTGGAAATCCAGGATATATTAAATATTCCTCACTAACACCATAATTCAAATGCATCAATACTGCTTAAGTCATTCTTATTCCTAAACCAGCTTGGATGAGGTGATTGAAAACACCATGGCTTGGGTCAGGCACACCTTAGACAAGTGACACCTTTAGGCTTTGTTGTTGTTGTTGTTGTTGTCAGGTGCCATCGAGTCGGAACCAACTCATAGCGACCCTATGCACAGCAGAACGAAACAATGTTCGATCCTGGGCCAACCTCACTACCGCTGCCACCAATGTGTCTAAAACCTTTAGGCTTTAGACACATCTAATTGGTGGGGCTATATCGGGGACAGATGTATGGCTGCAGTTGTTGTCTTCTGTTGTATGAGAAAAGAAGGTAAAAAGAAACATAAAAAACAGCCCACACCAGGGGATGGAGGGTGGGGTGGGAGATGATGAAAGTCAAACGTTTTCTCTCTGCCACCGCTCAGCCTCTTGCCTTCACAGCCACCTGAGCAAGTTCAGATTGGCTATACTGTGTCTGTAGGTTGGGCAGACCATTCACCTCCCCCCCCCTCCTTTTTTACGCCATGTGTTCTCTACCCCCATGTATTCATTCAACCATCTCTTCTAGTGAGAGGCAGTCCAGGGCTGGCCAGGGTCGACTTAGCAGATTTGGAGTAGAGCCTGACCTAGTGGAGTTATTGTCTTATCGTTTCTTCCTTGGCTCCAAGTGGGAGATTCCCTGGGGCTGTTGTACTCTGATTAGAATAAACAAGAAGGAAAACAAAAACAAAAACCACACTTTTGTCTCCAAGAGTCCTGGGTCGTTTTTGGCCATTTGGTCTCTAAAGTCGGTCATAAATTTTCAAGAAGGCTGCTGCTGGTTCTGTCAGCTGCCACTGCTTGTCAGTCACCCTTGACATTCACTTTGACCCTTTCTTTCTTCCCTGTCTTTTTAATAACCTTTTGCTTTCTGCATGTTATGTCCTTGATGTCACCCACAACTTGTCTAGTTTAACTTGCACATGAAAAATTGATGGTCTGTTCCACAGCTGGTCCCGGTCTTGTTTTGACTGATGATACTGAACTTCTCCATCATCTCTTTCTACAAATGTAACTGGTTTTTGATTCCCATGTATTCCATACATTGAAGTACATACATTGATGTACAGTTGCTGTTTATGTTATTAAAAAAGGTATCTGAAATTAATAGTCTAAGGAGAGTGTAGAAAAAGAGCTATGAGAGTAGAGAATTGAGCCTCAAGCAGGGAAACAGTGATGGAAAATGAAGATGGATCAAGATGTACATATTATACCACAGCATACCACTGTTATTGTTAGGTGCCTTCAACTCTGTTCACAAAACAAAACACTGCTTGGTCTGCATCATCCTCATAATCATTATGTCTGAGACCACTGTGGCAACCTGTGTCAATCTATGTTGCTGAGGGTCATCTTTCTTTGCCAACTGTCTACTTTACCAGAGTCCTAGTGTGGCAATGTGGGATAATGCACTGGACTATAAGGTCAGTTTGAACCTCGAGGTCAGCAGTTCAAATTCACCAGTTGCTCCTTGGAAACTGTACACAGAGTTGCTATAAATCGAAACCAACTCAACGGCACTTAACAACAATAACATCTACTTTTCCAACTTCAACTTCTTTAGCTTTAACTTGAATTTACATATGAGCAATTGATGGTCTGCTCTGCAGGTGGCACCTGGCCTTGTTCTGACTGACAAAAATGAGCACATCCATCCTCTATTTCTACAGATGTGGCTGATGTGATTCCTGTGTATTCCCTCCAGAGAGGTTCATGTGAGTAATTACTCTTTATGTAGTTGAAAAAGTTATTTGAAATAAAAAAGCTGCAGGTCTTACAAAACTCCTGCATTGTTTCAATCACCAAGGCCATATTTTCCAACTGCATGATCTTTCTTCTGTTTCCAATGTTTGCATTCCAATCACCAGTAGTTTTCAATGCATTTTGATTTTATGTTTGATCAACTTCAGATTACAGAAGTTAATTTAAAAACATCAATTTCATCATCTTTGGTTGGGTATGTATAGCCAATAATAATCACATTGTTGTTATTGTTATGTGACATGGAGTTGGTTCCGACTCTTAACGACCCTGTACAAGGTTTCCGAGGCTATAAATCTTTACAGGCGCAGAAAGCCTCATCTTTCTCCCATGGAACAGCTGGTAGTTTCGAACTGATGACCCTGAGGTTAGCAGCCCGATTAGTAACCCCTACGCTACCAGAGCTCGGTGATCAAAATTGCAGGTGTGTGGATATTATCCTAATCACTGACAGTATTATACTTCAGGACAGATCTTGAAATGTTCTTTTTGATGATGAATGCGGTGTCATTCCTCTTAAATTTGCCATTCTTGGCATATACACCACACAACTGTCTGATTCAAAGTGGCTAATACCGGTCAATTTCAGCTCACTTTTAATTTATGTATGTTCCATTTCATTTTTAACTTCCCATTTTTCTTGATTCATACTTTGTACATTCCATGTCTGATTATTAATAGATATTTGTTGCTGTTTTTTTCTCTCTGTGTGCCAATAGTACAGGCATGTGTACTCTTCTTGGTGTGGAGCTGCAGGATATAAGCACTGGGCTACTAACCACAAAGTTGGCAGTTCAAACCCACCAGCTACTCCTCAGAAACCCTATACAGGGTCACTATCCTCACTATGACTCCACAGCACTTAACAACAACAAAAACTGGAAAGGCATGTATTTCCTTTTTACTACTATACTGTTTCATCTCTTCTGCCTAACCATTCTCTTTCTGCTACCTACTGTTCCCTAGTACTTGAATTTGTTCCTCCACATAATACAGTGCTTAAAAACAATCTTCTTTAGACCCCCATCTACCAATTCCTAGTCATGTCACCTGGGGAAAGTTACCTAACAATTCTGGACTACAGTTTCATCAACTGTAAAATGAGAATATAACTCTACTTCATAGAGTTATGGAGCATACATCTACTGTGACACACACAGGGTTGCCATGAGTTGGAAGTCTTATAGGATGTTTTCAAGAAAAACAGTTTATATATGAAGTGCTTAGAACAGTGATTTGCACATAGAATACATGTCAAAACATTAACCATTCTCATTTATAAACCAAGGGTTCATATATACAGTGAGTACCTACTATGTGACTAGGTACTTGGGATAAATCCTTAGACAAAGCCAAGACCTCCACCCTCCTGGGACTTACATCCTAGTGTGGTGGTGTTGCTAAATGATGTCAAGTCAGTTCCGACTCATAGCAAGCCTATATAGCGCTTCCAAGAAGCAGCTGATAGGTTTGAACCACTGACCTTGTGGTTAGCAGTCCAGTGCTTATCTTACAGCACCACAACAGGATAGTGGTCAGCAAACTCTCTGCAAAGGATCAGACAGCAAATATTTCATGATTCATGTCACAAGGTCTCTGTCACATCACTTAACTGTGCCAAGGAACTATGAAAATAGCCACAGACAGGACAAACAAATGAGTGTGACTACTATGTTCCAACAAAACTTTATAGGCACGAAAACTTGAATTTCATATAATTTTCACATTATGAAAATGTTGTTGCTGTCACTGAGTCAGTCAGCTCCAACTCATAGAGACCATGTATAGGGTTTCAGAGGAGCAACTGGTGTGCTTGAACCACTGGCCTTGCAGCCCAGTGCATTAACCCAGAGCACCACACCAGGACTCCATTATGAAATAGTTTAAATATCTTTTAACCATTGGAAAATGGTGAGGTTTCATAGCTTTTTATATTTTCTGAGAGATCTCCAACAATAAAGAACTGAACATACCCAATGGCTCTCAATGGGGATTTTATGTTGGCTCAAACCA